ATTCAACACCGACTGGCCTACTTTTCTCTATCCTCTATTTCCATCCAGTTTTTCTGGATCCCTGGCCACGTCGGTATTCACGGGAACGAGCTCGCTGACACCGCAACTAAGTCCGTCTGCTCTAGTGCCATCACGGCCGTGCCTGTCCCATACATGAACTACGGTCCTGTCTTCAAGGCGCGGCTTCGTGCCAGTTGGCAGTCGACTTGGAGTGAGCAACGCCATAAAAAGCTTTTCCAGATCAAACCTTCTGTTGGTCTTTGGCCGTCTTGCTTCCGTAAGGATCGGAAGGAGGAAGTAGTCCTGGCAAGGCTACGCATTGGTCATAGTTTTTTAACCCATCGTTTTCTTTTATCAGGTATTGACCCACCCATGTGTAGCCATTGTGACACTCAAGTCACAATAGCCCACATTTTACTGTCGTGCCGTCGTTACGACCGTGAGCGGCGGCACCATTTTAGACACATTTTTTCTAAAAGTTTACCCCTGACGCTGGACAGTGTCATTGGTAATGGTGACACTGTCCGACTAGATTGTATTTTTAATTTTTTACACACTATACGTCTTTTTAGTTTTATATAAATCTTTTACCGACATTATTGATTTTTATCTCGCTGTTTTTTTACATTTTACTTTAATCTAATTTCATTGCTTTTACCGGTTGTTTGGCGCAGATAGCCTAGCTGCTTTGCGCCATAAAAACACCAACCAACCAACCAACAGGTGGCTCAACGATAACTATTAGAACTTATAGCGATAAAAAACAGATTTCGATACCAGTAGCAGGCAGAGCACAAATAGCCCATTGTGTAGCTATGCGCTAACAACAAACACAAAACAAAATACTTTGCTGTTACATTGAACTCACGTATGTGTGATTTTTTCGGTTTGATTTTCAAGTAAAGCAAGGGGGTGGACAAGAAGATTTGTCTGAGGAACAAAACGTTTGGCTGTTATACTTTATTATATGTTAATGGTTCTAAAAGATCCACCAAGAATTTCTTTGAATTGTACTTTTGAGTAAAAGTAAATGCTGACTTACTTAATACTTTGTAAAGCTTGCTACGCCACTGTATTAACAAATGAATTTCTTGATAAGAAATGCACATCAAACCAGGACTTATAAATATCACGTAAAAAATGAAAATTACGTCAGGTAGTTAAACGAAATTACCTATTTTCTCTGACACCCCAGAAGGATGTTGGTGAATTGTTAGTTAACTATATAAGATGAAGAAACAGTATGAGAAACAAAGTGTTTATAAAAGTAGAGGGAGTCACCATCCTATACAGCATGGGCCGCCAGACTTTCTCAGCACAACACCACAAAAAATTCCACATCCTGACTGAGGCCTCCAACCCAATGAATCTACAGATACCGAATACCTTAACAGTGTTGTGTATTTTATGTATTTGTAATGGCCTTCTGACATTTTCCTGCGGCTCCCCGGGAGTCCGAGGACTCCCGGGTTGGGAACTCCTGCTCCACAGAACTGATCGCTGAATGATTTTACTAGAATAAGAAAAGCCACCTGAATAGTAAAGCTTCACATAAGCTTATGATTGAAAATAAGCTTCTATTTTTACTTCCTTTTTAACAGTCTAAAAGTCAAAATAGCGTAATTTCAACTCATACGTTTTTAATTAAAATATAAATCGACGAAAAACAAAGTGTTTGTTGTTGCTAGAAAGAAAACAGCCATTGCTTTTGATTTTCCAATATAATTTCTACATTTTAGTGTGTACTATCACACCTTCTACGTGAGATTTATTTTCATTATGATGAGTGATTGTGAAATTTGCCTAACGTAGACGGGTCGTATGAAAAACGCTATACTATGTAAATAAACTAACGAGAAAAAACAACAAACACACTTACAGCTAAAGAGCGGTAAATACAAACAAAAAATCATGCAAAATGTTAAAAATACAAGAAACTTACAAAAACTAAAGAGATGGTTTAATTCAAACGTATCCATCGAATTAACTTTGGTAGGCCTCGTATCGTGTGTTTGTGTGTGAAAGAGAGACAGTTTTGTTTTTATACTTCATTCTTTATGTAAATATTACAGATAAACGCGTTTATGGCTATGATATCAACATTTTTCGGTTTCCTTCTTCGGCTATAGCTAATTTTACATCCATATGGAACAGTTTAAAAATAGTTCTTATAAACTGTTTAGGATTGTATAATAATAATTTAAACGTGTGAAACCCAAAGCTCAAACATATGTCATTCTACAAGTTCTATATAAAATCAAACATAACTATAAACTGAAATTGAACTTAAAATTCTAGCTTAGTGGTTAGTACTCAAAAGCATTAATATATAAAATAGCAACTTTTACAAGGAACTAGTTCATGAAAATTAACGAGATACTTACTTTTTTGGCTTGACAGTATTCCTTGTTAGTAACTTCTGCTAAAGTATACAATTTTCTTGGTTCTCCCGACACTAAAATGAATATGCAAAGTATAGTCAGAATTATATAATACTCGCTTCGTTCAATCGTGTTTTTGTAACAATACAATACAACTAAATTCTGGGCAATTTTTGTTGTTGATAATAAAGGCGTCTCATATGTTAGTTTTAGTTCCTTTAGCAGACAATTAAACAGTATATATAGCAGACGCGTATACCTTAGGTTTCAAATTAAAGAAGACGGAGGTACATCTATTAAGGATAATACTTTTGAGTAAAAATAGATACCATACTTGCGAGTGTATAAGACGATCCCATGTACAAGACGACCCTGGATTTTTTTAGCAAATTAAGTGTATTTCTTTGAGGTTCGGTGTATAGGACGATCTCTATTATCAAGCAAGTCTGGGATATTACTTTTATAAAGTTTGAATTTGTTTGAAGTTACGCACAAAGCTACACAATGGGTTATCTGTGCTCTGCCCACCACGGGTATCGAAACCCGGTTTTTAGCAGTGTGTGTCCGCAGACATACCGCTGTACCACTGGGGGGGGGGGGTGCTTTTGTAAAGAAATTATTCTTAGATGTTATTTTTAAACTGTGCTGACCTGCGCTCTGGAGTAATCAATACAACCTGAGACAGCTCAATGTGGCAGAACTTAAGTCACAAGCATGTAATAAACAACTTTACAAAGTTTTCATCACGGTTGAACTTTTCTATTACAAAAACAACAACAAACTAAATCTTAAAATATAGTGATCTACTATGAAAATGTTTACAAAATTAGTGTTCGTTACAGAAACTTTTTTTAATATAATATTAACAATACTTTAATATGACGGATGAGATCAATAAATTTCAAATCAAAAATATTTTAATTAATTGTAACAAGCATGCGATATAAATAACTGCTAGTTATGAAAAATCGAGACAAATGATACAATTACAAATATGTTATTGTAACCCAGTTGGTGGCGCGATGTCAACACACTTACTCAAAAAAGTAAACAAAAGTAAAAGAAACATCGTAGTTTTGGTTACCGGGAAGTTCTTACTGGAACTCTATCTTTGAATCTGTGTACAAGACGAGGGGTAAAATCAGGCATTGTTTTAAGAGTAAAAGGTATCGTCTTATACATCGACAAATACGTTACCAAAAAACTATAAATAAAAGGTTGTTAAAGAATTAATCAATAATGAGGATATGATCTATAAAAGTATAAAATATTTGATCATGGCACACTTTGTATACAACCTAGTCTTTGGCTATAGATATGTTCATAAACCCAGAATAATTCAGTCTGAAACTAAGTGGGCTCGTAAATCTTGCTACATCATATTAAACTAACAAATAATTATTTGCACGAATACAAGTTTAAGTTCCTAACATAAGAATGAAATAATCCCCCCCCCCCCCCACATACAATTCAGGCCATGGGTCCCAGAAGAAGGCATAAACTTGACAAACGCCCTATTTGGTCATTTGATTTAACTTTCCCATGTTTGGAGATGACGTCTACCAAAAGTCTTTGAGCGGAGAATAACAATTGTGGATTTCGGCATTCACAGACTTAGTAGATTAATTATATTAAAGCAGCTGCTAAGTAACCAGATTAGGTTATTCCAGTCCCGTTTCTCTCAATGTCGATGTCGTTGGAATGTATTTCACTTGATATGAGAGGTATAACTCTTAACAAACTGATTCTGAAACAAAAGAACGATCTTATGACCACTAACGTACCATTGTTTAGGTGCGTTTTTACCTGTTTCGTAGTGAAATTTAAAACAAAATGTCAAGGAATTGTGTTCATCAGCTTTCTAAATTCAAGCAAAAACACAGCTAGACTCAATTTTATCAGTGAACAAATCAATCATCGTTGGTATACGTAAATATTGAGTTCTTGAGTCAGTGGTGCAACTGTATAGATCGCATTAAAAACATAAGTTTCTTCTTTCACGTTAAATTGAACAAACCTCCTCTACAACTAAGTAGTTAATAGCTACATTGGCAAGTGTTGTCATCACCTACTCACGTTGGCCTTCGGTTTTTCATAGCATTCTTATTCAATTGTATTAAGTTACGGTGTCACTTCAAAGAAAATCAGTTACGAATATACTCTTAGTTTTCTGTTCAATCACTATGGTAATACACTGAAGTGCAATGCGAGCTCAACTTTTATTCAAAGCATGTTCAGCCATAACAAACAAGCAGTTATAAAAACGCAACTGAAATAAAGAGAAAAATGGACCAGATGATTTTAAAAGACAGGAGCAACAGAACTTTTGTACCGACAAAGTCTCGAACTCTCATCTGTGGACTACTGTGACAAATTGATGAGCAACACACGCGTATCACAGAGTGGGCAGCACATAAGCATTGCGATTGGCCTAATTAAACTAGAATAATTACAGAGATAATTATTTAGATAATTACTACAGAGATAATTACTAATCATATTTATTCAAAATATTATGAATGATCTTCTGAATTTTATGCGTGTTTTTAAACGTCTTTTACTCACCACAGTAAACCTATATTTATACATGTGTTGAAAAATCTGTAGCATTGGTCATTTCCTACAAAATGGTGGTTACACGTATATGTATCTCTTTCCAGCATAAAAAAGGCATTAAATAATAGATCCTTACCTATCGTTGTGGTATTTTGTGACCGTTGCTGCTACCACCAATATATATTCATCTACAACTAAAAATTCAGAACATAATTAACGAAAAAGCTTACTTTCTTTAATTAGTTATTTCTTTGTATTATATATTATACCTGAAACAACTAGCATGTGAAAACACACACACAAAAAAAACAAGCACCCAGGTGAAAAGAGTCAAGAGAATTAACAGATCCGACTCCGATTTGACATGATTAATGGAAAACAGAAAAACGAGATTTGCGATACTGTACGATCTGTCCTGGCAGAGTGAAAGCGTGTGAAGAAGACATTTATCAACAGTTATAGACAGCACGCCTAGCTGAGCTACGGATGAGAAGGATTATCCATCATCCAATTTAAGTGTGGCAACAAAAACTGCACTCGACAATTTTAAACGGCTTCGTTTATCATTATTATTATAAACTTATCTATGCAAAAATGAAGTTAAGATCCACTATTACGGTACACAACTTAAAAAAAATTCTTCCTTAAATCCACTCTATTCTCTACACCAGAAACACTACTGTTGTAACGACCTTTGTCTCTATGCTGATTAGGAATAGTGGCACTTTTCTGGTGGAGATATGTTGGTGACACCAGACTGAAACTGTCGAAATCTGTGTTCCGTAGTAATAGATCTTAACCTCCTTTTATACACAGTATTGTGTATTTGCCTACTATTACCTACACTACTTCACTGGGTACCTTACTACACCTACAGGATTCTTTACAGTTTTTTTTAATATCTTCCATTTCAGATGACTCCACAGAATGTAAGTAAGGTATTTCTTCGATTTGAATGAAAAATATATTTAGAAAATCACCTCTATTCAAATTCTAACAAGTGATCTCTAATAACTACAAGTCCTATATTTTGTTCTAGAATTACAACCAAATTAATGTAGATTCCTGTTTTGTTCTTCTAATATAATGAAAAAAAAAACAAACAAAGCTAACTATGAAAATTCCCCACGTTTCAATCTATGGGTATGCCTTAAATAATTAACAGACCTTGTTTCATTTTACCAGTATAATTTGAATAACTAAAATTATCCGTATTTCAATCAATAAACACAATTTAAACAATGAAAATTATTTAGCTTTACCAGTACAACTTAAAATGAATGAAAACCTCCTATGTTTAGCTTTTTTAGAAACCTGTCAAACTGCACCTTATATTTTATTATATAATTTTCTCCATTTGAGGACTTGGCAGCAACGTGGTCAAATGGAAGTATTGTGATTCCACTTTCTTTATTCATCCTTCCCATAAAATAGTCATACTGTATTTCATTAGTCAATAAGAATTATGTAAACTTTCTACCCTAAATGCACATATCAGAATGTGAATTGGTGATCTTTGTTAATTACATTTGTGTCTTATTTACTTTGAACAAAAAGCTTCATAATTTGTTGTTCGAAGTCATAGCTATAAAAATATAAAACCATTATTTAACTATCACAAGTTTCTCCATCCAGTTAGCACTGGTTGTACAAAAATTTATGAAATTGTTAACTGCCAGATGATATTTTTTCGAAGAAGTACTTAGTATTTAAATATTTTCAACCCGAGTTAATCGTTGCACACGGTAAAATATTTAACACTTACTAGCGACCAGATTAAAACTGAAAAGAAGTAATGTGTTGTTATTTATTCTACAAATCAGCACTAGTGTTTATTTGGAACTGCATAAACGCTGAAATGTTTATACAACAAAGTATAATAACTGCAAACTGAACATGGAGTATCGTATTGTTAATTATATAATAAGATAATAGCAATACGTTTATTGAAACTGTGTAAACACTGATTTGTTTATAGTTGTTAGTTTGTGAGTCAATGTGCTGATATTGATATATAATAAACTTTCTACACAAGAATTCTGCTTACAGAAAGATGTTTTGTTGGGAGACAATTTGTCAACTGACAACCCGTCAGTGCCACTTGTAGTATTAACTGCGGATGGTTAATACGGCTGTCACTTGAACAGTACTCCCAGAAAACCTAATAAATATTTTAGTTCACGTTTCCTAGACAGATAGGTTCACCTGCTGCATGAGATCACTCTTCGACACGCACATTGCCCATACGCGCCCGTAGACCATCGACTCGCTGCTCAGCAAGACTAACTCGTTTTAATAATGTTTGCTTTACTCTGACAAAGGGCACATACGAAGAAAAGGGAGGAGCTTCCTAAGGCACGCGACAGACCAAAAGGAAGGCGCGTGGTGTATTAGCCCAGCCCCTGTTACTGTTTGCAGGTGGTTTGACGCAAAGGGAATTACATGACGGCGCGCGTGCGTTGCTAATAGCAACGTACTTAACTACGGTCGTCTTACACCCTAGGTAGGAAATTGGATT